ACACAGCCTTATATGGTGTTTTTGGGGTGGTAATCTCCTCTCGCGTGCACGAGCAGCTGGATAGAACAGGTGGAATTTACGCAGCTCATTTACACACTTTTCCTGAAGATAGAAGAGTTTGTTGAATCTGACGTGACATGTTCGTACGAACCCTTCGTACGAACAAAAGTAAGAGAAATTTAGGATAAGAATACGAACGTGTTCTTGCATGAGGCCCAATGTCTGTAAATATGATCCAGTGATGACCATTTTTTGTGGTTTTTAAGGTCTTTTGGTTATGGCAGCCATCTTGAATTGGATCAACTCTAAATTTGAATCAGTTGTAGGTGTTAATACAAAGATGGCTTCCTGTGATTTTCATTAAAATTCCTCCTTTGCTGTAGTTCATGAGATATTTTGCTAAAAGACAGACACGTGCAGTTGATGATAACTAGAAAGAAGGAATTTTTGGCTGTTTTCTTATATATTTCAAAACTTACATGTAAAAAAGTGTTTTGCTTTCTGCCTTCCTGTTGTTTTTTCCCATGCATTTGGTCTTAGTTTTTAACTTCAACTCCTGCAGGTATGATCTCCTGTAGCCTATTTGATGCCAAGTGTTCTTATTTTTTTTAATCCATTGAATTGTTTAATTTTGCTGTGTTTACATGGAGTTTTCCTGTCTTTTTTGGCACTTTTATTGCTATAAAATGGCTTGAGAATTTCCTTCATTTCATATTGGACATTTGTTTTCTCTGAAAATAAGAGCAAGAAAAACAACCAATTTGAGCTGAAAACTAAGTCTTATTATGTAAAGGGAAAAAGGCATGTGTAAATGACTGTTGGTTGCAGCAATTTTATTTTACTTTGGAATGACACAAAAATCTTTATTCTTGAAATTGAGTTGCCTTTTATCAAAGAAGAACAAAAACTGCTTGAGTGGGAAGAGAAAGCTCTGTATTTACTGGTCCATTTATGTTCCAATTCTCCCATGTGGTCACAAGGTTTAGATCAACATTGAAAGGATGAGATCCTGGATACCTGGATAGGGTGTCCTCTGCATCGAAATGAGTCAGTTGAGGTGGTTTGGATATCCTTTTTGATCCAGAACTTGCTGGAAGGATGACATATCCTGTCTGGGCTAGGAACACCTTCGTGTCCCCCAGGTGGAGCGGTACAGGGTTGCCGGGGAGAGAGGTGTCTGGGTTTCATTCCTGGATCTGTAGTCTCCACGACCCGGGTCACCCGACAGTGATAAGCAGTAAAAGGTGGTGGTGGACACAAAATGCAACCATTCTGCATTTTTATACAGAAATGTCTGTGAAATATACACATTTTGTTTCTAAAATTTGTGCTCAGCTCACTAAATCTTTTAAAGCAACAGATGCTTTGCAGGCTGTTCTTGTGGCAAAAAGAAAACATTTGGAACATTAAAAAACAAAACAAAACCGACATCTACCATCACGGTAATAATCCTGAACAAAAGCTCTTTTTTTGGGGGGGTCTATTAAGTTTAGACGCACCACTTATAACTTTGATATAAATTGATATAAATGGTTGAATTGCCACTATGCTTGCTTTCAATCTTCCAATTCAACAAACACCAAACAAGAATAGAATTTAAAAAAAGTTTAAAACAAAAGCAGAATAAGCTGTTGGGCATCGGCAGAGATGATTTGGCAAGTTTTCATGAGTACAATCCACAAGGGAATTTTCCTAACAAAGAAATATGGCTGCATTTAAGGCAAAATGAACAGACTTTGTAACTAATAAAGATAAATTGTCAAGAAGCATTGCTACAACAAAGAAATATTTGACCAAACACACTTTATTTACACTGAAGGAACTCAACTAAGGCTACGTTCACACTGCAGGTCTTAATGCTCATATGATTTTCTTTTTGCGTGGGCGTTCACATAAATGTGACCTCCATCAAACTCCAGTGTGAACTCTCCATGGCATTGTTATGGCCTGTGTCCACAGAAGATGATGAAACCTCATATTTAGCTCACTTGATGCTACATATTAGCTTATGTGGATTGATTCAGTGCCATTACAGCCGAATAAATTATCTTTTGACACGTTTGTTTCGTTCATCTTTACATCTGACCCTGCTTCATGTTGGCTACTCTGCTGCAGCTTTGTATTTTTGAAATGGAAGTGACGTGCTGAAAAAAAAATCCACTCAACTTCTGTTCTGTAGCTGAAGACGTGTGGAGTTTGAAGATTTAAACTGCACGAGGTTGGTATTCTTATTCTAAAGATACTTGGATCGTTCCGTATAACCCCCCACCTCACTGATGTAAAAGTCAAATAAAATGTGACACAAGTGTTCAGACTGTGGTTACTTAGCAAAACATCAGATATGAATCCAATTTTGGCAGCACAATGGATCAGTGGTTAGCACTGATGCCTCACAGCAAGAAGGTCCTGGGTTCGATACCCGGTTTGCACTTAGGATTTTTCTGTGTAGAGTTTGCATATTCTCCTCATGCTTGTGTAGGTTTTCTCTGGGTACTCCAGTTTGTGCACACAGACCAAAATTATGCCTCAAGGCCCAGGCCTTCTTTGCAAAAGAGATTTGTGACGTCAATGGGACTTGCCTGGTTAAATAAAGGCAGATAAATATATAAAT